TGCAGGGGCGTCACTAGAGAGGGGTGGGAGACATTATTATTTTATATAGTTATATTCATATTTTAGTCAAACTGAGCTTTATGCTTGCGCTGTAACATTCCTATATCGTGTGAATTTAATTGATTTTGATATGCATTAAGCGTTTAACTTATTCTTGCTATTTTATTTAAATGTTCTGTACAATGTAATGTACTGCTTTGACAAAACAAATGCATGACATGTAAATGTATTAAATGTAAATATAACAATAATGAATGAATATGAACATTCGAATTAAAAAAAGGATGGAAAAAGCTCATATAGAAAGTTATGGATCAATCAATTAATTATCGATATATCAAAACCTCTGTAAACATATTACAAAATGTGAGAATTTTTTCTTTACTGTTGCCGTCAATCTTTTTATAAATCAAGAGGCCTTATTTTATTATTCACTGCATTTCTTTTTGTTTTGGGAAGGATTTCTTTGTAAGAAAATTAATGGCTATTTTGTCAACTAGTTTTGGTCCCATTCGTGCTAATGAATAAGCTCCAGCTATACGCTCTCATGTCGATATACTGTATATTTAGTGTTAACTTTATAGGCCCAATTTTGCCGAAATGAATTAGTAAAGCTATTAATTCTTTACTATATTTATTATGACTTACAGCAGAATTTTTCATCCCAAGTAGGCTAACCGTCACCCATTACACACCCCTACCCATCATACCCACATGCAAACCAATCCATGCCACACACCCTAACACATCAAACACACCCTCATCCATCACGAACACCCTCACCTACCACGAAGACCACCTATCACACCCACACACACACACACACCCTTACCCGTCACATAGGCCCTAGTCAATGACGAACTCCATCACCGATCACACACACACTCACCCACCACGCACATCCTCAGCCATCACGCACACCCTCACCAACAACGCTCATCCTCACCCGTCACACAGGCCCTCACCAATGACGAACGTCATCAACGATCACACACACCCTCACCCATAACGCACACATCCGCACCCATCACGCACACCCTCACCAACAACGCTCACCCTCACAGACAACGCTCACCCTCATCCATCACGCACACCCTTACCAACAACGCCCAACCCCATCCATCACGCACACCCTCACCCATCACGCACACCCTCACTGACAACGCACACCCGCATCCATAACGCACACACTCACCCTCATCCATCACACAACCCTCATCCATCACGCACACCCTCATCTATCACGCACACCCGCATCCATAACGCACACACTCACCCTCATCCATCACGCACACCCTCACTGACAACGCTCACCCTCTCACTGCCCGCGCACTCACAGGAATGTATGCACCTGGAATGCACTTGAACGCCTACGGGGGCTACCTTAGATCAGGTCCGTGGGTCTCCTAAGTGACAGGGCCCTCAATCGAGATGGAGTAGTGTCAACGAACATGGTCACTAGAGATGAAACCCGTAGAGATGAGAAATCAATAACAGGATCGTTCACACTACTGGCAAATATCGCGGATCCAAAACCGTTGTTTGAAGGTCAAAATACACTCATTTTACGGCGTAAAACTAAAAGCCTCACGATTTATTTATTTTTTATTTAAAAAAAAACTTGTTTCTTTAAAACCTCTCTTTTTATAGTTAAGTCTCAGTCGGAAGTAATTACAGCTTGGTCGTATATCATTGAGCACTGCACTGTATTACGCTATTAAATTTTTTTAAATCCTTCAAAAAATTGTACCACTCCTCAAGCCCCATCTGTTGATGGGTTCTGGTACTCATGAAGCCGTGACGGTAATTCTATCACCCTTGTTTACCATTACCGAGGAAATAGCATCCCATTCATGTACATCCAAATCGGACGACTTCTTCATGTGTTCACGGCTCACGTGTCAAGAAAATTCACTTGCATAACGCGCAAATTTACATTTAGAATGTAAAACGGACGATTTTCAGTATCTTCACTTCTGGTCATGTGAAGAAAAAGAACATTGCCCAAGTATAGATTTCAGAATTTAAACCACATGAATATGCATATGAACTTCGAATTATTGATATTTCGTTCGTCAAACTACAGATTATGTGGTTTTGATTTCATGGTGCATGTCTTTATTTCAGAATTTAAAGAAATATCTACCTGATTATGGTCTCAACGACTGCGGATCATGTCTCGGAGAATGACGTTTTCAAGTTTAGATTTCACAATTATAAAATGGGCTTGTAGTCTTTCGACTACGGCTCACTTGTTGGCGAAACAATAAAACGTTCACCTGCATGACGCAAGTTTAGATATCAGAATTGCAGAATTGCAGAGCTGCGACCTATATATTTGCTTCAAAATGGAAACCAATACGTTTGTCGGCAAAACATATCAATCTCATGATGCTTCCTGGATGGTATTTTGAGAAGGTAGCTATTTATTAATCACACTGTTGATCATAAAGTTGTAACAAATATTTCCTACCTTTTTTCGGGAAATGATTGTTGCTAATATTATAATACCCTCAGAAAAAAATGCACAAAAAAGCTTACTACCCAAAACTTTCCGTACAAATAACCCACATTCAAGCTTTGCATCGAATTTTAGGCTTAACCAAAAAGAATCTGATTTTTATCACGAAGTCTTAGATTTTTCCTTTAATCTGCATCCATCAAACTTGCTCTAAGAACAAAAACAAGACTCTGTATAGCACATGGGTTGGCACGAACATGACTATTTGGTTGCACGGTTTAAGAGCCTTTCGGCGCTTTGCGCTTTATGTCTGGTGCAAAATGGGTTAACTGCCTCTTCCCAAGGCATTCGGTTTCAGTAATTACATGATCATGTTTGCCTAGAGGTCATAAGCAATGCGAAATGCACACTGCATGCGTTTATTGTTTTTTTGTTTTTTTCATTTAACAGAAAATTGGTAGGTGTAAATGATGTGATAAGACAGGGCTAATGTTGATCTAAGGGGAATGAGAAAATATCGCCATGATCACCCCTGACAATTATTTATTTTCTGCAGGCAAGCTAACAGAACCTTTAATCACTTATTGTTCTAGTTATCACTTTTTTCTTTTGCATAAGATTTAAGTTGATTAGCATATTTTACAATAACATTTTTGTTCTATTTCCTAATCTTCATAACTTTTTTTTTTTTTTAATTGTGGAGTACGCTGATTTTGGTAGCATAGTAGATATTTTATCAAAGCTGGAACAAAATATTATCTTGCCCAAACTCCGGACAAATATTGTTATAACCCCATTACACATTTAAACACCATCGGGAGTACAGAATGGGCAATTGCCAACCCTTCCCCATAACTATGTGATCTACCCCCCCCCCCCCCTCTTCCACCATCTCCTTCCCATAATCCCATGGATGGATCTGCACCACTCCCCCCCCCCCCCGTGTTTAACGTTCACATTTTTAAAAGGATCAAGAACTAGGCCTCCTATGATCGATGTTATATTTTTCAGTTTGTATATGTTTATTTCAATAGTAAAGGCGGGTCTTATGTAAAGCGCGTTCGTGGTTTGGTGGATGATTTCCTTTCTAAGCATGCCAGCCAAGCTTTTTTGCAGTTTCTTCATATTTGATAAGTTTTTAAATCAGCACCGACTTTCCTCTTTCCTTGTCTCTCCTTTGCTCCCACTTTTTGTTAATCTCTTTCTTTCTCTCTCTCTCTCTCTCTCTCTCTCTTCTATGTCTCTCATTCTTTCATCTCTTTCTTTTCTTTGTTATCCCCTCTTTTTTAATTATCTATCTATCTCCCTCTCTATATATCTTTCTCTCTCTCTCTCTCTTTCTTTCTTTCTTTCTCTCTCTCTCTCTCTCTCTCTTTCTATTATTCTCAATATTTCCCAACCCCCCTATGCCCCTTCATGAAACTGCTATTTACCCCTGCCTATTTTCATACTGCATTTCGGACCCGCCTACATGTTTATCTCCTTCCGATAGGTACGACAAATACTCTCGAAGGACAGAACCTAAACAGCGTCTGATTCCTAATCATTCACAATATCAAAGAATTTTACTCCACGGGAAAACTCTGATTGCGATTTAATGTAGCGCCTCCTCCCAATTCATTACAGGTGATGAGATAAATTGCGAAGGTTGTGCTCTGGAAATACGACTATAGAAAACATCCTCTTCGGCGGAAAAGAAATCAATGGCGGATGTCTGAGAAGATTTTTCCAACAAGTTGTATACCCTTTTCTCGACCAAGCAGTCGAAGATCCTACGAATTGTTTTGTTCAAAAATGCCAACAAAATAGGGCAGTCCTTTTCTTCCTTCGCAACACACCTACCTCTAAACTCTAGAGTGTGAAAGGCAGTTTAAATGTGTCTCAACGACTTTACCTTTGAATATTAGTATAGTTGGCACTTGGATGGAGTAGATGGAACCACTTTTGATATTCAACAGATATAGAGGTGGCGAGCAGTGAACTTGTGTGGACATCTCTCTCGCCCCCCCCCCCCTCACCACTACTCCGCCCTCCTCCCGCCTGTGTCTCCTCTCCTCTTTCTGCCTCTCTCTCTCTCTCTCTCTCTCTGTTACTCACTTTATGATCCCGATTTCTCTTTCTCTCTCTCTGTCTTTCACTCCCTCCTCTCCAACCTAGTTGTTTATTCACGTTACTCAAATCGTCAAATCACTGACGAAGTAGTCCTCTCAGTTTACAAATTGGATGATTTTTGGAAAATATTTACTCAGCAAAGTGTCACGACCGATGCAATGTCACTGTCCTAGGAAATACTGTGAAGGTCATAATTTTTTTCGTCGATTGATTTCATTTACCGGTATCCCGGCTCAAGGGGGGGGGGAGGGCCTTTGGCAATTAAAGAGTTTATATTCATTTTGTTATATCATTAATCGCATTCTCATTAAACTTTCCTGTAGTTGTTTTTGTACTTGTATGATGTCGCAGTTGCTACTCTTACGCAGTTTCATGATCTGTCTTAAATAAATGAACTTTAAACTTTGACCTCTCCCGTTCAGATACTACGTTGTGCTGCATCCACTCCAGGCCAGGTCCTTTGTGACGATGGGGAGGGCTAAAAGGGTCATAACAGCTCTCTGGTTAGCTTCGTGTATTTTTTCAAGTCCCGCCATATTTAGTAAGGTAAGCATGTTGTTTTTCCTTTGATATCTACTATTTCACTCCCCTCCCCACACACATAAACACAAACACACACATAAACACACTCTTTTGCGATTATCATTTTTATTCTTGAGAAAAATACAAAATTAATAAACAACATTGTTATTGTCCGGACTCAGCATTCTAGTGTTGTAGCTACCGGACGCCTTTGGGGCACCCCAGTAGAATGGCAACAGAGGGGGGCATAAAATAGTGAAAGAAGATCGGAGAAAGGAGGGTAAGATAGAAAGCGTTGAAAAAAGACGATGTTTGCGCTCTTCGCTCTACAACTTCAGCCACATTGTAGATCTAAATTATTTGCATTTTCATTCACGGATCCCCCCCCCCCTCCCCAGCAAGAGTGCCCCTGAATGGCTGGACCACGGTACGCCATTGTAATCTTCATATAAGTCCGTGGGGCACATTTTTATATCTGGGAAGCGGTATCATTTTTGTTTTGGTAGTAGTTTTATTATTTTGTCGATTGATTTCATACGTGTTAAACGGTTGTATACACTTAGTGCATTCGTTATTAACCAAACTGTAACTGAAATGTAATACTTTTTTATCAAGTACTATTGCAATAGTGTAAAATAAAGCAATGATTTGGCAATCACATGGGCAGTGAAAATGAATGTCCATTGCATTGTCATATTTTTGACCCAATGCTAAAAAGACTTCCTAGAAATTTCTTTTTTTTTGTTGATAGCCTACATTCGTACGAATGGTACTTGAGGGAAAAGTCGAATCAGTATTCTTTGAAGAGCTGAATTACAACGGGCACTACACGTAAGGGAGTGATAATGGCCGGATGAGTAATGACCCATCGTATACTGTAAATTGACCACCGGCTTTTAAGGAGTAATTGATGGTTATAGGTACATTAACAATATGAAAGATGAAAGAAAGTGATACAAAGCGACAATTAAATCAAAACTTTGAGTGGTCTTATCGTCGAAATAATATGTAAGATTTTTGTTATATTTTTTGCTAGAAAACAAATTTACACATATTAGCACAGGACACGTTGACGAGAAGAGAGATACAAAATAATTAAGATAATCGTTAGTATAGTTCTAAACGTCACAACTTTTGATTGAAGAGCGCTCCTCACTAAATCCAAGTGTCGGGTGAATTTTCGCCTTGTGGGAACACAGAATCACTAACGTTCGTTATTAAGCGATGTGAACCTCTAATTTATACACTAGGGGATGTTTCATCAAAGTCCCAAGATTCGAATGTGAAAGGTTTGATGAAATACCCCCTTGGTATTCTCTAACATGGAACAATCCACGACCTTCAGATCTTTTTATTTACAAAAAGAACAATCATGAGGAAAGTGTTTGCATTCACCAGTGCCTTATCCTGTAAATTGTTGTGGTTTGTATGTTGCTGGGGAAGTTAGGCCAAAGCAAAATAGAGTGAAAGTCGAGTGGGAGTGAGAGGGGGAAGAAAGAATGGAGGAATGGAGAGATCCTAGAGAGGGGGAGGAAAAGAGATGGAATAGAGAGAAGAAGAAGAAGAAGTAGAAAGTTGGTGTATGGAAAGCCAAAAAGGATGACACGGAGAGGGGGCGAAAGAGAGGGTGAGAGAGGGAAAGGTAAGAGGATGAGAGATGGTGTGTTTGCGTGGGTGTGTGTGTGTGTGTGTGTGTGTGCGCGCGCGTGTGTGCGTGCGTGCGTGTGTGTGTGTGTGTGTGTGAGAGACATGAAGAGAAAGAGAGAGAGAGAGAGAGAGTACGAGGGCAAAATCCAAAGCCCCAAAATGAAAGAAATGTTTTTTCCCCAAGCCTCTTCTATTTCAGCTGTATCCTGGAGGGGTATAGGTCTACCTTCGCTCCAATTTAGGAATATTTCAGTCATAATTATGCATCTAGAGAGCGAAACAGGGCAAATGAACTATAAATGCTTTTGATGTCTTCACAATCAATACCAGATCGAGGCAACCGCTTTCATTTTACGTCAGGCTCCTTTTTGAAGTAAATAAAAAGGGAAAACGAAACTCCTTCTTCACACTTTTGAACACAAAATACGCATATATTTTCTACCGCTGTCGTGAAAATTATGCAGTGCTAAGTGCTGGTTTCCCTGTAGCAAGTACATGTTTTTTAGGACATCGATATTTTCACTTCCGCAGTTTGTTTTGATCTCTATCGAATTCCGTTTCGCGATCGATTTATTTATACGTACTTCTCTTTAAGAGTTGTCACCTTCTGAAACTTTTTCTGAAAAAAGACCGGTTTCTGTCTCTCTTAGTTTTTGATGTCTTCTTTCTCTCTTGTTTTCAGTTATTATCATTTCGACCCTCTTTCGATATCCTAAAATTACTTTCGTTTGCTATAAACTTTGACATGACAAATCTTCCGTTTCCTACCTTTCACTCGATGGTGTGTTTGTTATCTCGGACCCTCCCTCTAAATATCCCTCAACATCTCTTGCTCTCTTTGTCTCTTTTTTCTTTTTTTCCTTCTTGCAGTCTCCCCCTTCCCGAATACATTCCCCTTTTCTCGCATTTTTCCTTGTTCACCTCTACTACACCTCTTCATTTCTATCTCTCTCTCTCTCTCTTACTTTCTTTCTTGTGGACATCCCCACACACCTTCACATTGTTTAATGATACTCACACTATTTCTCTCGTCATCCCTCTTTGTCTCTGACTCTTTTCGTTTCCTCTCTTGGTCTCTCTTCTCAACCCTTCCTATCTCTTTTTCACTAACTCCCTCTCTCGACCCCTCAACCTCTTCTAACTTTCTTTTATGACTTCCCTTTTTCCCCCTTCCATTTCTCTTTCATTATAGAAACACACACACACACACACACAGAAAAATTACACACACAAAGACCCCCACCCTCACACCCAAACGCACCCTCGCATACACACATTCGTCGTGTACGATATTGAATCCTCCTCTGGTAATATGATTACAAATATTGCCCGGTACGTTTCAACCTTCTGGACCACCAAAAAAAGTACGTGTCACAGAAAGAAGAAAAAATTGTGTTCGATTGCCGGCTGATGGAAATTGAATTGCTCTTGGGTAATTCAAGAAATAACTCGGCCCGTTATATAACACCGCTGCGGAATGCATTGAAAAAGGCATGTCCAGTAATGTGATTTAATTTGGTTGATTGATGGAACGTTAAACGTGTCGCTTCCGACGTAATTCAATGAGACCTTTAAGGTGCTTCCAGGGATGTCGACAGGTCAAATAAGGTCATACCAGAAATGACCTTAGTGTACTTTTTTGGGGTGTCGGTTTAAAAATATGTAATGTGATTTATTTCAGAAGCAGAAACAGAAATAGAGCCCAACAATGAAGCTTATTTCTGAATCATAATCGAGTATAGCATTTCCTTCTTGTTTGAGATGTTTTACCCCGGGTATATCTTAATTAAAATGCAGTTGGTTATATAAATGAAGAAACGCTTTTCGTTGCCAGATTTTACCACTTTTCGAGATGGCATTATGTTTGTACATGTAATACTAATAGGATATCTAATTCCCATATTTCAAATGTTTAACCGTCCAAGCTCTCATACTTTTGATATATATTACATGTATTCTGGGGGATACTCTCACCATTTACCGGCATTGGTCTCTCAAGGGACGTACAAATCATGGTCACAAATCTACAAAATTTACATTCTTTGATAGTTCATTATTATAAGGAAAAAATGTTAACTAAAGTTTTTGTGAAACACTCCCCATGTCTACCTTTTCAGGAATGCAACTTTTCACAGACTTATAGTTTACGTTTATCTCGAAATGCCATTCAATAAAATAAAAGTTTCAAATTATTTCTATGTTATCTTAAATATTTAGATATGACGAATCATACAAGTGCTTGCAATTCTATAACTAACTAGCTGATTTTAGTTATTTATCATTTAAAGGATTCAATTTGCTACTTCGATTTTCGTTTTCTTTTCTTTTCACAGTGCGATTTTTCTTAATTTGCTATTCTCGTTAATACTTCTGCCCTGAAAAATGAGAGAGAGAGAGTCAGTCTTGCCCTTTCAATGTTATAAACAATTAAGTAGCTTTGATCACAAATTTGCCCCCATCCTGAATTTATTACGTAATCTGTGTACCTACCACGCCCTTTTGTCTGGTATTTGTTTGCAGAAAGTAACCGCCCACTACTGGGAGGAAGAGCTCGAACCTTATTCGTATACGTGTAACAACGCCTGGCCTAGCGAGGCCATGTCCATCATATACTCGGTATACCTGTTCCTTCTTCTGTTCTTCGTTCCTCTGTTGATTGTCTCCTACGCCTACATGAGGATAGCGTGCCATCTAAACAGTACAAGGGAGCGTTCATCAGGGGAGTCTAATGGTTCACCGTTTAACAGACCGGGTAAGGACAGTCGTACCCCAGTCATATACCAACGGTAAAAATACACCAAACTGACAGATTCTCGACCATTCGGAGTACTACAATTTTTGTCAGGTCGGTTGTCGGTCTGGTGCTGGTTTCGTCGGTGTGACTAGCTAAGATATTAGAAAAGGATATTTACCCCATAGTATGATCAATCGACGGCCCACGGCCTCGTGAATATTCGATTTCCTAGTCCTCCATTCCCACTCATACTTCGGACAGTTGTCAGGAGGTGCATGAGACCGAAGCCTTTGGTTATTTGAATCTTATTAATAGTTTTCCAAAGGTTCTTCAAATCAAATTCCTAGATATGCACATGAACCTTCTCACGAATCCTCGTTTATGTAAACCTTTGGTCATTTATGAATCTGTAATGCCGTTTAAGATGTTTTTGCTGATGAAAATATCATTGCATTGAACCTTATAACTGTATTATGGATATCAACATTATCTCACAAGTCGTAATCCTCTGTAATTTCATTACACCTCATGCAGTTCTGTCGAGATACCGGGTATGGTACCGGAATACATCAGGGTGGTCTAGTGGTTCGTCATTCGTCCGCAGAGCCGAAGCTGCAAGTCAGGCCAACGGGGTTACCATTGATGACGATACAACCGAAGCGGACGCCTTGCGTTCGGAGCCGAGCAGGGTGGAAAACCTGAATGATTCGCCAGCCCCCAGAAGGCATCGTGGGACCAGTGAGGGTGACAAGATACAGGTTAGTCAATAGTGAAATATTTGAAAAGAATGAAGGATCCTGCGTCTCTAAGTAAAGGGTACCATGGGACCAGCTTCGACGATAAGATACAAGTTTTTTTGCACGCCTTGTTCTATTGGAAAATATTTCCTCAACCTCTTTTAAACGGCCAGCGAAGGTGAGAACATACGGGTTTGAGGTTCTATAATATTATTGTCGGCCTAGGACTACAATGTTTAGTGTACAGTGGAATAGGGGTACATCAAGGGGAAATGTATGGTTCGAAAGGAACCAGTGAAGGTGACGGATAGTATACAGCTGAGTGGATATTAGGCTTTCGTGGTAAACAACGTGACCTAACAATGCAACCACGACAGCATAATACAAGTAAGTAGTTAAGGGTATATGTGTTTAGGCCTATATGTATAGACTAGGCACCATCGTAGCAACATTTGTGAAGGTTCTTATAGGACGAGAAAGCTCTAACTTCAGATACAGGTATACAGATGCACTTTAAAGAAAGTGCACATTACGAGGGATCGTTAACTGAAGAGGAAAGATTGCTATCACCCAAGGTCCTATTTAAAGATGACGTGCGAGCAGTGGCATCGCTTGAGTCCATTTTAGGGGGGCACTACATTATATGAGAAAATGGTAAAGAATGGCTTGAATATAAACTTTCCACTTTACAAAAATCAATTGAGAGAGAAAGAGAGAGAAAGATGAAAATGCGTTGGATAGGATTGGCCCAAACCCTATTTTTTAGAGTTACAATATCAATTTTGTTGAATAATACTTGATAAAATATACATGTTATATGAAAGAAATAAATTGATACGTTATTGCTACGATGTGTCCTTCACCAAAATCTGCCTTCAATCCAAGTATTGTTGTTTATCTCTTATGTCCTGTTGCCATGAAACACATAGTCTGTGAATATTTTTGAAAATATTCATAGGCTATGCACTTTTGTATTAAAGTACTCATTAATGATGATTAAGTAGTGATGGCTGTCATTGTCTAATGTTTTGCCCTTCTCAATTGAAGATAGGTATAATCTTAACGAATTGGATTTTTGTGATAAAAAACATTGTTTTTGCAGAGGGTCATAACAATGTTGGCCATAGTGGTGGCGCTCTTCATCCTGAGTTGGGGTCCGCTCCTGACGTACACCTTGATCTACCGTTTCATTGACGACATGCCCTACAACACCCACGCCGTTCTGAGTCTCTTCCTCCACCTCCTAGCCGCCTGCAACAGCTGTGTCAACCCCATCATCTATGCGTTCCTGTCCAAGAACTTTCGGCAGAGTTTCAAACAGGTAATTAGGGAATGCTGCTGCTGTTGCGAAAGCTTGCACCAAAGGCGGCTGGCCTACCAGCCCTCTTTCAGATGGACCAGTTCAACGCGCGCCTCGTATTCCTATGCGGCACCGGAGAGCTGCATGCGAAACAGTCCGCAGAGGTCGACAGTCTCCCAGAAGACGGACGTTTGAAACCGGTGGAGAGGCCTATCACATTTATGGAGAAGATATGCCAACCTATGGCTAGCACTGGGTTGCAATGACGTTGTGCCGTCTCTCCGATTACGATCCGAGTCATATGGTCACTCAAAATTATGACCAAAGGATGAAACAGTATATTGAAGACCCTCCATCATCCAGATCACTGTGGATAGCTTTTGTTCATACGGTCATTCAATTATTCCTTCACACCTTATTTTTTGAGATATTGTCTTTCAAAAAACAAAATTCAAAATCGAAGAAAAAATGTCTAGCCTGATCTTTAAGAATTTCTTTGCATGAATGAAATCAATTTATCTCAGTTCATCACATTTTTTTACCGTAAAACAAGCAAGATCGGTATCTTTTCTTGTTTTTACTTATTGCAACAACCACTGCCATGGTTTGAAAACTTGAAAATACTTCATAGAAACGAAAATTGATGTTTAAAGATCAAATACCGCTTTTTTGTTTAATTCCAATTATTTTATAAAAATACAAAGTACGTGTTGAAAGACAAGTATGTTACATTTTGGGGGATTGTCTCCCAAACGAACATCTCTAATACGATATGATTTGAAGTAAATGACCGTTAGGAATAAGACTGTACGTCAAGTATCCACATAAGCCAAGTAACGATCAATAATGCTGGGTAACAATGATAACCCGACAACAGTCAGGTTTATAGAAGATCAGTGTATATCCTCCATTAAAACAAGATAAATTTCCCGAAATTGATTGAACCTGAATCTTAAGTCACGCTTCGCGGTTTTCCCATTCCACATTTGGTTGAAAATGTATTCTCTTTTTATTATGCCCATCCTACGAAGGAAGTACTCCATTTCCGCGTATTCCGCAATATAATCCGTTACAAAAAAAAATACGGTTCACATGTTTTGGTTTAAGGTCTGTTCTTTAACATGATTTGTTTTTGTAAAGAAATATAAGTGAAACCAGACTGGTTACTCGGTTACACCGTCGGAGCACACAGCAAGCAGCGTTGCTCAAACTAAGGCATGTTCGCTGATGCTATATACTTGTCTCGTGATAAGAGGACATCCATTGTCCTCTAAAACCGGCTATTTAAATCCTTGACTGGGCAAACTATACGGTGTATAAAGGATTTCATTTTTAAACATTCGATAGGAGGAGTGACTAATTCGAGAGTATATTCAGTGATCGGACTGAGTTTGGATGCTGGATAATGGCTTCGGGAATACTCGGAGCTCTGTATATATATCAAATCGTTCAGTCGGGATTGTATTATCAAGATACGGAATCCCGCAAGAACTAAGTGCCATGCAAAAGTACTTGCTTTCTGTTTCAAGTAGTATATATAATGTTTATGTTCTTGTTTTGGTGGTACGGTAAAGTAATGTATGGTTATATCCCAGGTGTCGTTTATATGGTGGTGTACCATCGGGGTTGCAACTGTTATAATATATATTTCATACTGTTATATTCAATATTTCAAATACTTAAAAATTGGTCTGCCTTCTTAAAAAATTATTTTCATCATCCATCATTTTCTAACCCCCACCCCCCTCCCAATCTTTCTCTCTCTCTCTCTCTCTCTCTCTCTCTCTTTCTCTACCTATCTTTCCCTGTCTTTATCTCTCCTTTTCCCTCCTTCTCCCTCCCTCTCCCGCTCTTATCTCCCTCTGTCTTACTCTCTCCCTTTCTCTCTTCAAGTGTCTAAGGGTCCATGTGTTTTGGGGAATATAATGTGTCTAATGTCGATTCCATTCGTATTTTTTGGTTCGTGGGGCGTAGTAACTATGATTTGTTATTCTTCCAATGTAAGACTGGATTGTATATGCGGTTCCTCTATCACCTCACCCTCTCTGTAATCTATCCATCTTTCTATGATCTTTCTTTCTCTTTTACTTTCATTTTCCCTTTTTTTTCCTTCCAATTATTGGGATTTTATAGTGCAGTTTACAGATGAAAACTCCATAATCTTTCTAAATGTAACAATTGTTTTGTTAATATTCTTAACGATAAAAATAATTTAAAAATAATAGATCTAGATAATAGTATACATTTTCAGAGTTTATTGAATAATAATCTGCCAATATGTGTTTTGCGTGACTGCTAAAGCATGTGTGCCCATGCCTTGAGCCATAATGCATGGCCGTCCAGATGATTTTTTATGTTGGGGGCCGGGGTAAAATGCAATAAATTATTGAACATTTATTGCATTTTCTTTGTTTTTTAATTTTATTTATGGAAACTGCCCCCTACCCTAGCCCCGCTGCGTACAGTTATGGTTTAGTGACAAAGCAATGGCCTCGTAACTGTGAGGCCCCAGGATCAAAACCGTGTCGATGTGCTATATTAGTGCCCTTTTGTGGGGCATTAGTCCTCATTACTGTCATTTATGACTTAAGGGCGTAGGTCCCCTAGTTGATAAGCATATTAGCAAACACATGCTTTAGCAGTCACGCAAAACACACATTGGCCAATTATTATGCAATAAAATCTGAGAATGTATACTATTATCTAGATCTATTATTTTTAAATTATTTTAAAAATAATTCCATAAATTGGGGTTAAACAAAAATATTCCAACTATATGAGCGACAGTGTATTGGATTACATTATGAAAATGGTCTATTGCAGAACAACGAATTTTCCCGTTGCATCAGGAATACGCGTGTCACAGTGCGTGTACACTCTTTGTTCAGCTTGGCTTGTTAATGGTGGACATTCCCTCAATAACACTCTCTCCCTGACTAGATCAACCTGGCTGGATCTTTCTTTTAATTTCGGTTTTCTCTTCTGGGGGATAAAGAATCAATCGTACTGTAATAACATATTAACATATACTCATACTACGTCGAAAAATGGTGAAGTTGGTGAGTTGTTCCTTGGTGTACAAAGGTATTTTAGTAGTTTCATGTCGTAGATGGTTATGACAACCGGGTTTTGCTTTAGATCCAAAACGTACCTGTGAATTAAATGAAAGATTGAACCAAAAAAATTATAGTTGGTCGGGCAGCGGGAAAATTGGAGGACTCTACGTATAGTTAGTAATATATGTCTTTTTAAGTTACTAGACCATTTAACATAACGTTACATGTTGTAACGTGCATACTTGTAATTCATAGAGGATTTGTTTAATGTTGTGGAATTCTGATGTAAAAAAATTGACATACATGTACGTGTGGAATACAATCGATGCAATATTCAAGCTTTAGTCCCTTGTTATTTGTATCTTTGCCTTCAATACCAAAACGTTACTGTAAAAGAGTTGAATGCACAGGAATATTTTAATATCGGGGAATATCAATCGCTAAAATAAACACATAGCTTATTGGCTTGGAATACACTTTGCGCCTAATCCCATATTTAAAAAAAAAAATCATCAATGTTTATTTTGTAATGTTTATCTCTGTTACCATAGCTCTACCATCATACACAAAATATATATTCATAAAATTCATGAAAATGTACCACTTCATTGTATGCTGATAATTATGTCCTTAGAATTTACTAGAACTGGCTTTACGGACTTATCTCAGTCAGGGAATTCTCCCCCTAATCCATTCCAAATAACTTACGATCAAAAAAGAATGAAATGATGAACAATTATATTTGAATGGGCATTCCACGCAATCTCCTTACCTACTTTTAGGGGGGGGGGGGTCTCTAACTTGCATTTTGACTCCGATTTCATTTCAATTTCAATTTCCAATCATGGCTTTATCTATCAATTTATTTTTATTTTCCATTCTGTGCTTATTCCTTAGACTGGTGTCAATGTATTGAATCTCTTGACAAAGATTTGAGCGTATGTATATCAACAGGTACTTGATAATGCGAATGATGGAACAGGGCTTTTAAAAGTACATATAAATGTCTTTTTCGTTATTCTATTTTATTTATTATCTATTTATTTATTTATTTTATATTAAGTGTCATAAGACTTGGTGTTTTTACGGGAAATTATCATTTGTGTATTGATATGGAAATATAATCGGATCGTTTGTTTTATTTTCTTGAAGTGTTTTCAGTCATTCACAGGACAAGACAGATTTATGAAATGTCTAACTTACATTGGTGAAGGCTTTTTCTTTTACTAAAAGGATATATTTAATGAATCTGACAATTTGTAAAAATCAGGGGCTTCTCCTGAAAATATGATTGTCCTCAAATTCGAAGGAATGAGAGATTAATCTATGTGTGTGAGTGTGGATGTAGGTGTGTCATGTCTGTCTGTCGCTCTCTCTTTTTCCCTCCTTCTCTCTTTTTTTCCTCTCTATTTTTGTCTCTCTTTTCTATCTCTCTCTGCTTAACTTTTTCCTTCCACTTTAAATGGGCAAATGTACTTGGTTTGTTCACTAACATGCGTTCTTCAAAAGTGGATTTTAACATTTGATTGTATCATTCAGTGTTTTCATGTTGACATACCTCATTGTTCCATTTCATGACGTGTATTTAATCAAATATGAATGTTGCGCTAAAGTTTCATACATGCAGACTCTGCCTGGAAAGAATACAGTGCTTCACAAAGTGTGAATGAATATCTCTCTCTCTCTCTCTCTCTCTCTCTCTCAATTGTGTGAACCAAATTTTTACTCTGGTAACAGAAAAATGTCTCACTATGCTCATAGAAAAATATCGGTGCTTCCACATAAAGGAAAAGTAACACTTTCAACGTGTGTATTAAAGACTACTGCGTGTGCAGAATGTTTACACTGTATAACACAGTGTACAAAGTGTTCACACTTTATGACACAGTGTACAGAGTGTTCACACTGTATGACGCAATGTGTATAGGGTGTAGGATAGTGCAAAACAGAAAATCACATTATATGGCATTATAATGTTACTGTTACCATATAGGGGGTTTGGAACTCTTTCATACTGCGGGCACTGTGAGCAAATTGTGCCTCATCTGTGGTAACACTGGCAGTACGACGTGACACAGTGTGACGCATTTTAGTTCACAGATGCAGGCATAATCACATTGTGTAAATGTTAAACTAGGATCACGGAATATTATAAAACAGTTTATTAGTATTAATAATGTAGACATTCAGCATTCTGCATATTCGGGCAGTTCTCACACTTCTTGGCACTGTATTCTTTCCAGTAGAAGTAACTAACTAGATGACGTACCGTAATATCATCATTGTAATCACCATGGTTCTGCGCCATTTTGTATCATTCCCATAATGCAACAGACGATCACATGTCACACCCGCAAACGCCGGCGTTCCAAACGTAGGAGACTGGGCATGCGCATTAGAGGGGTTAACGAAAGAGCATTTGAACTAAATGAAAATAAAGGTACGTTTTAGATAAGCATGCAACTCAAACAAGAGATTCTGTTGAATAACCGACATAACACACTCCCTGCTTTCAACCTTCTTTAATCATCTTTAGGGGAGTTATCATAAGGGAAAGGTGTAACTTACCTTTTTCCAGCCAATCGGGCGAGTCCAAAAGTGATGAGGTATAGGGGAAGTGCGAGAGTTTGACTTATTAACATGTCTTTTGATATGAAATAAGTAGAGATGATTATAGTTTGAATTGGATTGAAATTATATTTAGACCTGTTTCACTGACGCTCTTTAAGACACAATTTCTGAGCAAAGATCTAGTGAAGAAATATCAAATAACTGCCCACATGCGAATTCAAGCTGATCGGTCTCTCTCTGGTTTTTGCTCCCATCCAATTGTATTACACATGTCATTTCTGTTCAACAGAGTTTCTTAAAACTGGTTTAGTTTAGAGTGAATGGAAAGTTGACATCAGAACCAAAAGGCACTGTCCTCTGTAATCCAAATTTTCGTGACACTTCTTTTCTTTGTCTATGGTATATCGCTATGTTTGTGATTAGAGTGTGTTTTGCGAGACTGCCCAAAGTCAACATTTTAAAACTCTAAATGTGAAAGGAAATTGCCTATGTTCTGATGACAATTCAAATAGTAATTAAAACCAGGCCTATTGCACCGAGAGTAACGATCATTTGCATCACTGGCAGCCGATATTGAGGGAACAAACGACCCGTGCCCCTTTCCCCTGTCAAAACTTATATGAAAAATACTAAAAATGCCCCTTTTCAATTCTATACAAGATTTCATCTTGTGATTTCGATTATTTTTTAATTCTTTTGAGTAATTTATATCACCAAAGTGGCATTAACTTATTCATTTTTGTTTGCATTCACGGTGTTTTTCTTCATAACCGCTCCCGCCCCCTGGTCCCGCCCCTGATTTCCTAATCATTAGCTAGTCTTTAAAATCAAGGGTTCATTTACGACGCCAATGACGCAACTCTCTGTGTAACGGGGGCCCTGGTGCATGATTTGGGGCATTTTGGCACGTTACAATAGTGGTGGTGGTTATTTTACCTGACTGCTAAGAAAGCATAACTGCTTGCTAGTAAGCAACCAGAGGAACGACGGCTTTAGGTCCTCTCCTAGGGACAATAGCGGAGTCTGCATGGCTTTAGCGGTTTCACACCTAACTTTTCGGAAGACAGTATGCAACATCACTAGCTTAGATGATTCGATGATATGCAGTAATAAACATAATCTACTACAAATTATGGTTTTCACATATTTTCACTACTTCACTCCATACTAATATATTCTATCAAGCCTGGACCAATATCGACTTTACACTATATATCGTCAAACGTAGTCCTTATTTGCTGTTGTTCGAGCAATCGTGATAGGGGTCACAACTGCATCACGTGTCGTAGCAATTAAACAAAACTATTTTTATCGCTCTAGATTCTTTGTCGGCAAGACCATTGCCAGATTGCTCCAGAAATATCACATTATATAACTATAATCTATCGGTATTATTCCCAAAAAAAGTGACCTGCTTTCTGACACGCGCCTGTGATGCCATTTAATTGTGACAATAGCGACGAAATGTTATTGTCGGTGATCGTGAAAAGTCGATATTTTTCGTGTTTGAGTTAGATTCAGTGGAGTATCAAACTGGAGAAGTTTTATTTACACTCAAAGTTACACAATTTTCTATCCATTACGGAATCATGGTACTGCGGCTATAAATAATCCATTAGCTTAGTCCTTGAAGTTTATACGTATCATTGGGTTTAAATAAATCCTACCACTAGACACAAAAAAGCGAAACTCAGTTATACATGTATGTCGCATGAGTAAATTGGTGAAAAAAAAGTAACAATGGAAATTAGCTTGACGATAAGTTTGCACGCGGTATGCAAGGACACCAAAACTAACACCATAATGTGTGGTAGAGGGAGAGGCATGATGCATGCATTTCATGGTATGGTGGTTTGTAAATGGCGAAGTTTGCCCGAGGTGTTGACTGCCCATGCAGTATTTCGATGTTTTACTGCACGATTCATTATTGGAGTGTTCACTAACATATTGGTAACTTATTCTGCCATGGTGAGTATCACACTCTATGCCCGTGGCATATGATGCGTCATTTCCCTGACTTAGGATGGCGTCTATCGGCGTAGCCGGGGGTATGCATGGGGCAAGGGGACCTTGACCCCCTGTTCATCGACTCAAAAAAGGGGAAAAGGGCTCATCCACGGAACTTAGGAAACCCTACCCATACTCAGATGTTTCGAGGTGACTTTGTGCGTCAACAATGTGTCACCCCCCCCCTTTCCCCAGTCTGCCCCCCCCCTTTTTTATCAAGTCTGGCTTTGCCAATGGCAGGGTTAGTGACGTGTGCATTCGTTGGCTCTTCATAATGAGAGTGGCATCGTTCAAAAAAGTGATCCCCCCCCCCCCATGCAAATAATGGGTTGAATGATTGGCTGCACTAACATAAGTACACATTAGGGTAATTTCGATTGCTTCATTACCTGCTCCAATTGATGATATAAAGGCGATAGTCAATATGTCAGTAATTTTTCAAAAGGGATTGCGCTGTTCATTTAGCTCTTACTTTTTAGATAATACCATGTCATTCTCAACTGGATTATTACAACCCGCCCAAATCGCCGACGCAGTTCTATGTCAGGAAATGACGCATAGTAAGCAACGCGGATAACACATTGTCTATTAGTATTAATGCTCGATGTTACTTCTAACATTTGCTTTAGTTAACAAAAAGACATTGCTCTGCAAATTCCAGGATTGCCAGTCAAAACTTTTTTTTGACGCAAGTTTTTTTAATAATAGTTATGTTATAGAAAAGTGGATTATGTTTGAATAAATCAGATCGTATTAAACGAGTCAGTAAAAATAAAGTCCCTGCATCAATATCTGCATATTTCTTAAAGACAAGCCCACCAAGTGAATGGATAGGCATGTTTGAATAATCGTG